GGAATCTGCTTCTGTCGGAGGAGTGATGTGAAGGGTCGGAGCGATCTTCTCCAAGCTAGCGTACTCCCTGATAGGTCCGGGAAGAAGGTGAGAGACATGTCCTCAAATTTATATGGCGCGTGGTCTCTGACTGCCGCCATCACCGCTGCTTTATCTTTTCCGCTCATTAGTTGGATGACCATGTCCATTGGTACGTCGTCCGGTGCTCTTGGGGATTTGGGTACACGAAAGAACCCCTCTATTCCCACCAGCTTGCCCTGTCTTGGGGTAAGTATAGTGCTTAGTAGGCGCCTCAGGAGGTGCGGTAATTCCGCTGTCGGCACTTCATCCGAGATGCCCCTAATCTTTATATTATTCTTCCGCCTCCAATCCTCCATTGCGGAGAAGCGGCGTTCAGCTTGTTCGCTGTGGCGCTGGAGCCCCCGAACCGCCTCTTGAAGTGTGGCAATCTGTTGGGCCTGGGTATCGGACGCGGCTTCCACCACCGCCAGTCTGCCCGTAAGGCCTTGTAAATCCGTGCGGATTAGTGCAACATCCGTCTGGATGTTCCTCTGGAGATCTGCCAGGAGTGCTTTCAGCACCGCCGCCGTCACTGGTGCGTTGTCTCGGTCGGTGTGCTGTTGGGCAACTTTTGGATTTGCAAGTGGGATCTCGCTGTCCTCGTCAGGGGACATGTCGTCTGAGAGGTCAGAGTACGTTGCAGGATGGTCGGCCATCTTTGGTCTCGTCCCTCCACTGGCCTGCCGCAGCATGTCTCCGATATCGAAGCCTATCCGTGTCTTTTCTGGCCTCATCTTCTTTGATTTGCGACCCATGGTGTGTCCACAGTCTCGTGGGGGGTTCCCCTGTCGTGGGTAGCCCAATTTTAGGGTCTTGTGCGGTAGTTGTTTGGGTTCCGTGGTCAGAGCTCAGACAATGTGCGGCCATTCAGCTCGCCCGCTTGGCTCCGCCCCAGCAGGTCTATTTATTAATTAAACTTTGCAGTGAACTGAAATTCTAAATAAAATATTTAGATTAATGCTGTTGTTATAACAACAATTACAACTACAATTAACTACAATTCAATTTTAAACGCCTTTATTTTTAAAATCTATAAAACTATTATGTAAATAGCAACAGTCCTACAGAAAAAAAAAGATGAATATATTCTCACTTTTAACCAAAATTGTCTGAAAACATTTTTAATCCAGAATATAACAGATGCATAATGTATACTTACAATCATAAACAATTAAAATAAATGTAAAAAAAAAATAATCTATTTTTTAGACATTTAAGATGCAATTAATCTTCATAAATGTTTGTCAGTGATACAATACACACAATTTCATTTTCTTTCAAATGTATCATGTACATTTACAAAATCTCTTGTAAAGATGTGGCAATAATGTAATATGCAGTAATTAGTTTGCTTGAAACAATTCATTGTAATGCTATATTGAATTTCTAATTTATTTCAAGTTCTCAATGCAAAAGCAATATTACATGATCTCTGAAATATAATCACCTAGGTTTTGGACAGTTTCAAAAATGACAGAAGAACTTAATCCATGATGCAATTCATCTTGGAAAAATTGTGATACGGAAAAAATTACTAAAAAAATCCAGGCAGTAAAAAATAAAAAAATGTGGGAAGAATTGGGCCTATGATATGCAAAAACAGCTACACTATTTCCATCCATATAATATTTCTGAGTTGCAAAAATTAGATTATTATATATCTGCATTTAAAAAAATAGAAACTGAGAGATTGATTACTGATTATATTCTTTTTTTTCCCTTTTGCTATCTTGTATAAATGAAAAATAAGGAGCAGGAGTAATTTTAAAGGGACACTCCAGGCACCCAGACCACTTCTGCCCATTGGAGTGGTCTGTGTGCCAACTCCCACCACCCTGAACCCTGCAAGTGTAATTATTGCTGTTTTTATAAACAGGGTTAAGTCCTCCTCTAGTGGCTGTCTAACAGACAGCCACTAGAGGGAATTCCGTGTTCTTAGAACACAAAAAAGTGTTTTAAATGATGCTTGATGTCCACACGCTATGCATGAGGACCTCTAACACTGCCAGAATCCCCATAGGAAAGTATTAGATATCCCCCACCGGCTGATGTGGGTGGGGGGGTGTGGGTGGAGCCTGACCTAGCACAGAGGGACATCGGCACTGGATTCAGGGAAGGGGTTTTAACCCATTCAGCAACATGGGATGAGGAGTGGGAGGGAGGGGGGCACTGCAGGGTTCAACTTAAAGTAGAGTCCCTTTAAGTTGAAAAAAGGTGATTTATCCAAAAATGAAAGGAAAACATCAATGGTCACTTAAACACACACTCACCTCTTCTACTCTTACAAGAACAAATCTTTCCCATATATCCAGTCTGTAACCAGTAACCATCTATAGGTGTGTAAAAAAAAAAGTGTCCTTCCAACTGTGTCTGTGGAGGTAGCAAGCACTGCAAGATTCAGGCAGGGCAAAACCACTGCAATGAAAGGCATTGGAAAAAAGGGGGAGTGACCTGGAGCTCGACCGTACTAGCCGCACGCATGTGAAGCTCCCATGTCAGAGGCCCGACAAGCTAAAAAAATAAACATTATACAGAGCAGATATTTAACCCACAGCCAGTACCCACCTTCCTAATGTCCCAGAGGACCAAGAACTAGACCACAAAGGTGGATAAAGCTACCTTCTTTCTGGTGCGAGCTCCGGCGGGGAAGAGCAGAGAAGGCCACAGCCTGATCCAAGATGGTGGCGATTGCCGCTCGGAGGAGGCGTCACCCTGCCCTCCGGCCTCACCGAGCTCTGTTTCAGGAGAGTGATCCCTTACTGCAGCTAGGATGAGATCCCTCTTATGTGAGCTCACAGAAAAGATGCACACAAATAACCACCCTGACTACTGACCTCCGCAGGGAACTGCTATATATCTGTCACAGAACAGCACAGGTGGAGCAGAGAGTGGATGATTTCACAAACGCTCACAACGGCCTAGCTGATAAAGTGCAAGCACTGGAGGACAAGCTGGAGGCACAAACACAGAAGATTGCTGACCTGGAGGACAGATCCAGGAGGAATAACCTCCATTTCAGAGGTATACCAGAATCTGTCCAAAACCCTGATCTCTCCAACTACCTACTAGACCTGTTCCAGGAACTGATACCAGGCACACATGATCTGCTGGTGATTGACTGGGTCCACAGGCTTCGCAGACCCAGCCACCTGCCCACTACAGTCGCACGAGACGTGATAGCGCGCATCCACTACTTCCATGTGAAGGAGCGCATCACCAAGGCCTGCAGAAACACGGCACTTTTGCGGACTTATCAGCGAATACGCTGCAATTTAGAAAATCATTGTCACAGATTACCACCACGCTCTGAACCAACCACATGCTGTACAGATGGGGATACCCAACAAAGCTACTCATCCAGAAACAGGGAGTGATCCACGCCATAGCCACGCAGAGAGAAGGCCTGCAAAAGCTAAAGGACTGGGGTTTACCACTACCGGAGCCCTCCTCGGCTACCCAGGCTAAGGTACCAAGGCTGTCAGCAGAGTAAACCCAATCCTGAAAGGAGTGACCCGCAGGGTATTGTATATTCTAATATGCCTCATATGACCTATTTGTAAAGTGTACAGACTGCCACAATCCCTATGTTTTGAGAGACCTGTTTGTTTATTGTGGGTGTACTGATGCCTGTATTGTCAACCCAATCACCACATAACATCCCTGTATAAGTCCACTAAGACCCTTACTGCTACTTGGCTAGATGGTGCCCAAGTCGCTCCCTATACGGCCGAGCGGACGGAGCCACCCTACCGACAATGTTCCTGGTGTCCACAACTGACCATGTACCAAATGGCCCACTGACTTGAGGTATCCCACAACCAAGCACAAAAAAAATAAAAAATAAAAATAAATAAATAAAATAAAAAAAACACCCTACCCAGCCACAACAGTACACTTGAGGCATTTAAGATCAACCCTTTCGCTCCCTATAGCTCCTAACGGGCCTGACAAACTGAACGACTCCAAGACCTGGAGCTGCTCAAGGCCACCCCTTCACGATCAGTGTCTGGAAATCCCACGACATGACACGGCCCAGACCTTCTGGGCGTCATTTTGGTTGTTGTTCATGTTTGGTTCTTTCCTTCACGTGTTATTCCACCCCCCCCGTCCTGTACCTGGCACCATTGGATACTGGGGTGACCACTTCCCCCATCCGCCCAGCATACACATATCATTCCAGGCATCTTAGCCATGTCAACACGTCCGCCATTACCGTCCCAGGGGAGACCTGAGCGATGCTCATTGATCTTAGGTTTAACCCAATATGAAAATTACCACCTTGTTAAGGGGCTTAATACCCCAGGTAAACGCAGACTTCTGCTCAGAGATCTAAAGAAGGAGGGAGTAGATATTGCCTGCATTCAAGAGACACATTTCTGTAAGGACCATACCACGTCTAGCTTCAACAAACTATACCTGACCCAATTCCATGCCCTTTCTGCAAACAAGACAAAAGGGATTTCTATCTTTATTTATACAATGTACAATTATCGACCCACAGGGTAGATACATCATCCTCATGGGCCTATTTAATGACGCACTTTATACCTTGGTGACTCCAAACAATATCTCCAATCCCTCCTTACCAATATTGACGAGGGCAAGTCTGGAGGCTTACTCCTTTGTGGGGACTTTAACTTCATTCAGAAGCTCACACTTGACTCTAGTGCCCGTCCCAAAGGAAGCAGGAAAAGACAACTGACCACCTCATGTAGGGCCCTTACCAAAATACTTGCACAACACGAACTATATGACACGTGGCGCACTTTACACCCCACAGACACAGATTACACCTTCCATTCCAAAGTCCACAACACCTACACTCACATAGAGACTATTTTCCTAGACAACAAAAGGTTGGCCCAACTGTCGGATTGTACCATAGGGGAGATCACCTGGTTTGATCACGTACAGGTCCACTTAGTCATTCATGACGAATTTCAGTTTAAGGCTAGTGGACATTGGCGTCTCAATGAGTCGCTGCTGACCGACGAACTATTTCGGGAGTCGGTCCAGTAGGCACTAATGACAATGAGACGGGCGAGGTGGCGGACGTGAGGGTGTGGAACAAATGTTTTGCGGCCAGGCTCCGAGCCAGGTTGGCACAGTCTAAGATCTCTCACATCGTTGACGTGAAGGGTAAGAAACATATTGACCCCCGAGCGATTAGTCAGGTGTTTGCGGACTTCTACTCTAACCTGTATAACCTATAGAACGACCCAAACATAAACCCCACACGGTTAGATATTGAACACTACCTCAACAATGTCTCGCTGCCTAGACTCACAGAAGAACAAATCAAATCCCTCTTGCAACCCATAACCATCCCAGAAATCCTACAAACTATCAAACACTTGCATCCAGGGAAGTCCCCTGGCACTGATGGCCTCCCCAACCTGTACTATAAAACCTTTAGCAACACTCTAGCACCACGACTCTTAAAGGTATATCAAGAAGCTACTGAATCGGGGTGCTTAGCGCCCGAAATGCTCCTAGCAATGATAGTGACCATCCCCAAATCGGACAAGGCCCCTGATTCATGCAAAAACTATAGGCCCATTTCCCAGATAGGCCAATACGGATGCAAACATTTATGCTAAAATCATTGCCAACAGACTGAACCCGATCATCCAACATCTCAGACGTGTTTTCTGCTGGGCAGACAGGGACTAGACAACACTCGCAAACTCACACTGATACTGCGGGAGCTTAGGAGGTCAGGCCGAGGACGCAGAGAAAGCTTTCACCGCCTCGGCTGGGCTTTCCTCAAACAAGTGCTGGACAGATACTGCTTTCCGCCTCAGGTGGTCAAGCAGGTATTTGCCCTGTACTCCTCTCCCTTAGCACAAGTGATCCAGTCAGGTTCTCTCTCCCCAGTGTTCCAAATCACAAATGGAATGAGGCAAGGGTGCCCTCTCTCCCAGTTTCTCTATGTTCTTGCGCTAGAACCCCTACTACACCTTATCAGGCAGAGACAGATGGTGCGGGAGTAGAGTTGGGCACCTTTGCGTATGATGTTCTATTATACATATCGAACCCAGAGGAATCCCTCCCCACTTTGCTACACATAATACAAGCCTTATGGGCAGGTCTCGTACTACTCAGTCAATGCATCCAAAACACAGGCTATGCCTATCGGTCTCCCGACCTCCCTTATTATTACCCTTACCCCGGCTTATAAGTTTGATTGGAGGAAGGAATCCATTAAGTATCTAGGGTTGACAATTACGAAAAATCAAGCAGATCTTATGGTAGTGAATTATATAATGGTTTGGAACACTTGTAACCAACTATTGAAACAATGGATGCCCCTTTACCTGACCTGGACAGACCGCATAGTTGCGATAAAATGTCCATACTGCCGAGGCTGTTGTACCTGTTCCTTACCCTCCCACTCTGCCTACCCCAGTCCTACTTTAAAGCAATCTAGATAGATATCCGGAGATTTGTATGGGCAGGCGGTAAAGCACGAGTCCCACTCAAACTTCTACAAGCATCCAAGACCTTGGGTGGGCTAGCGTTGCCCAACATACAGACCTACTACCTCGCGGCGGTCTTATCTGCTGCTGTACCCCATGTTGTCTCCACACTCAGACCACAATGGGTCACCCTAGAGAAAGACCTCATAGGAGGGCACGAAATTGCTGATTTGCTACGGACGTTGTAACGGACCGTTTCAGCACACAAGGGGTTAAAACCGTTTAGGCGATCTTCCCCTTCCAGAGATGCAAGCATAGCTACTGTAGAACACCAAACTCCCGAACCGCAAATAAGGGAATGCTCCAATCTCCCGAACTGCATACAATATAGTACTCCAAACTCCCGAACTGGAACCATACGAATAGCTGCTAGCAGACGAATAGGAAAAGCACCCAAGCGGCTTACACTCCTAGCAATCAGTCTCTATCAGCGTTCAGTAAATCCCCCCAAAGACAAGACAAGGCTCCGTGTTGAGGGTCAAGCAGTGGTCTGTTTAATTAGGGCTACCTGCCCAGTATTTATGCAAGTCTCCCACTCCCCTAGGGGACCAAATGGGAGACTGTAACAAAGGACAGACAATCATCAATCTAGGACACACAGTCACATTATATTCCCACAATTCATCCTGGCTTCCTCCCCTCTGCCCTGGAGATAATTGAGAAGTAATTCAATTATCTCCTAGGACAAAGGCAAATCGCCATTATGCACGTGGGGATACCAATACAGGAATTACTGTTAAAATCCCCCATGTTAGAACGGTTACAGTAAAGATATACATTTAACATATCCCCAGATAGCTCAGTTCTGAGCGCACATTATTAAGCGAATGGCGCTCAGACTACACAAATACAGTAGCTCCATGGGATTCCTGTCTGGGGTATGGTGTAGTCAGGTACAACTACCGAATATAGGGCCGTTCGTGCCCTTCTACTGAACAAGAAGGTAGGTCGGCGGCTTCAGCGGTGTTCGCGCCAAACTGTATCCGTTTTCAGTTCCATGGATTAGGCGTCGAACACTGCTGTGCCTTCGCGTGGTTTAAAATGGCTGCTACCTCGTGTTCGGCATACGAATGGTGGCCACCCAACTACTGTATCAATCAAGAGGTGTCTGCGGTTAACCTCAACGTTCGATTGGGGCCAAGAGGTTAATCAGCAGCACACTTCTCTACTGGGTGGCTGGCTGTTCGGTAGTTTTGTTCGGTCCTAAAAAGGGAACGCCATAGAGTCCACAGGAACGAGGAAAATGAATTAAACAAACGAACGAGCCATACGGTAAGTTCAGTCCAAGACAGAGGGATCTGTCACAGAATCTACCGAACACTGGGCATAAAAGGCACGAATAAGCCTTTTCTGCGGGGAAAAAGATGTCTTTTAACATGGGGCGATAATCCAAAGGCAGCAGGCGAGCAACCAGGCTTCTCCAATGCAATGTGGCGAGATTGCTCTCGTCACAGACGTTAAAAATACACAGGCCTAATATGACCGCATATCCCCAGGTTCAGCTACTGTTCCAAATCTGGGACAAGTTCAGACCCAGACTAGGCAGCACCCCAACCCTCTCCCTGGTGACCCCACTCAGAGCTGTGCCATACTCTGTCCCTACGTTCAACCCAACATCCTGGTACAGCAGAGGTGCAACCCATGTATACCATCTGTTTGAGGGCGAAAAACTACTAGATTACCCAAGCCCAACCTCTAAATTTTCCTTCCCGCAGTCCTCCCTATACTCCTACTTTTAGTTGAGATCCTACTTCGCCAGGGTACCGACACACTTACTACCACATCACTCATTGCATGGGAACAAATGTGCATCAATACGAAACTTTCACCACGATGTTAACCGATCCCCATGTGCAATACACTTATCTACACGTACACCTGCTTCTCTGCATCTAAGTACGCAAAACAATGGAAACAGACCTCCACTGCACATTGTCCGCAAAACATTGGGAAGGCATAATTTATAATCCTCTAAAACTACTCAGGTCTTCCTCTCACCTAGAACAACGCAAGATCCTCTATAGGTGGTACCTAATGCCAACCAGGCTACACAAATCTTCCCATCTACCCCTCCAGATTTCTGGAGGTGCCAAGGAGCAGAGGGCTTGATGTTCCATATCTGGTGGGATTGCCCTCAGTTGATTCACTATTGGACAGCAATCCACGACCTGGCCCAGGCGATAACGGCCGTCTCCCTAGCCTTTACCCCCAAAACATATCTATTGCTGGATCTCGCAACGGAGATACCCCAGCGCAAGAGGAAAATGATTGCTAACATATCCCTGCCTGCACTACAACTGCTGGCAAGGAAATGGAAGTCTCTGGTACTTCCCACGAGGTGGGATTTACTCGGGGAACTACATAAACAATGGATATATGAAACTTCCTATACGGCCATTTTTCCCCCCTCAACACTATCTGAAAACATGGGATCTGTGGCGCACATGGAGAACTGGTAACCCAGCAGATTGAGAAGTCAGGGGTGCTCTTCAGATCTGCTCTGACACCTCCCTGTTTCGTTATGATACTGCAGCCATATAGGTACAGAGGTACCCCATAAGGATGCCTTGATGCAATGTGACTAACTAGGAGTAAAATGCTGATGTCGGACTGTAACGGAATTGCTATGTACCAATGCTGTCTTCCCTCATACTGCCCCCCTTTTCTTCCTTCTGTACCTCTTCCCTGTTTTTATTGGAAAAGCAAATAACATTGCAAATGAAAAAAGGGGGAGGAGCACCAGGAGTAATTTCATTTAATTTTTTTCTTTGATTTTCCTTTTTTTTTATATTTAATGAGGTGGGTGAACAAGGGGGTGATTTGCCCCAAACTATCACTTCTGTGACTCAAAATTACTGTAACATCCTTAAAAGGAATATTAGCTGCCATATTCCTGTCCAATCCACATGCACTAGTGGGGAGTCAATGTCAATTGAGTGGTCAGAGGATAGACTACAGGGAGTGCAGAATTATTAGGCAAGTTGTATTTTTGAGGATTAATTTTATTATTGAACAACAACCATGTTCTCAATGAACCCAAAAAACTCATTAATATCAAAGCTGAATATTTTTGGAAGTAGTTTTTAGTTTGTTTTTAGTTATAGCTATGTTAGGGGGATATCTGTGTGTGCAGGTGACTATTACTGTGCATAATTATTAGGCAACTTAACAAAAAACAAATATATACCCATTTCAATTATTTATTATTACCAGTGAAACCAATATAACATCTCAACATTCACAAATATACATTTCTGCCATTCAAAAACAAAACAAAAACAAATCAGTGACCAATATAGCCACCTTTCTTTGCAAGGACACTCAAAAGCCTGCCATCCATGGATTCTGTCAGTGTTTTGATCTGTTCACCATCAACATTGCGTGCAGCAGCAACCACAGCCTCCCAGACACTGTTCAGAGAGGTGTACTGTTTTCCCTCCTTGTAAATCTCACATTTGATGATGGACCACAGGTTCTCAATGGGGTTCAGATCAGGTGAACAAGGAGGCCATGTCATTAGATTTTCTTCTTTTATACCCTTTCTTGCCAGCCACGCTGTGGAGTACTTGGACGCGTGTGATGGAGCATTGTCCTGCATGAAAATCATGTTTTTCTTGAAGGATGCAGACTTCTTCCTGTACCACTGCTTGAAGAAGGTGTCTTCCAGGAACTGGCAGTAGGACTGGGAGTTGAGCTTGACTCCATCCTCAACCCAAAAAGGCCCCACAAGCTCATCTTTGATGATACCAGCCCAAACCAGTACTCCACCTCCACCTTGCTGGCGTCTGAGTCGGACTGGAGCTCTCTGCCCTTTACCAATCCAGCCACGGGCCCATCCATCTGGCCC